AGACATTTGGCCTGGATGCCAAGCTTCTGTCCAATCTCTGCCAGAGTTTCATCTAGACTTTCCGACACAGCCACAACCTATTGAAAATTAAGCAGTAATAGAGATGATCACGAGACAAAACGATGAAAATAAGTTTTTCATGTAGCAAATGGTATCTTATGGGGTAAATTTAAAGAGACATTCAGGATCTGTTTGTCACAGTTTGTCAAAGCTTGTCCTGCAATTAGGGCTGGTTATGAATAAAGAACACAGAGATTGATAATTAAGACTAAATATCAGTCAATTATCAATACTTTTCGGAGAAGTAACTGAGCCAAAATGCAAAGGAAAGTCTGAAAGAAATGAATACATTTCATGTCACTGGTCATTCTCTTCCCACAGAGGTTACTCCTGTCATATCTTCCTACGTTACCTCTGTTCTAATACGGCCCTTTCATGGTGTGAGCGTTCAAGACTCGTGATTGGAGGCAATCAGATTTAGTTGTGCAATCAGCGACGTTGTTTCAAAAGTGATCATTCGCAAGGCCTCGGTAATTTCCGTATACTTCGAGAAAACTAAACCTCTTCCCCTGCGCGATGCGCACACGTTTCTTCTAGACAGAACTCCGTCATGTTATGGCGGATCAGTGGCGTCTCCATCGCCCTCGTTGACAACGGACAAGCTAGCCATTAAACGTCTTGTGTGTAACATCAACACAAGTCCCCGGCAGATGGGGGATATTTGTGGCCTCACATTTGCTTGTGTTAGTCTAAGTTGAATATAAGTCGATGTAACAGGTGTTCTGATTGGATAGAAAGAAGGGAGATAATTCGTTTTGCGATCTTTTGCCGCTAGGGGATTTTACGAGAACCAGGAAATATGGTGAGTGGCGACATGTTTATTCATGGGTTAGTAACAAATCAGCTTTCTGAACATATCTTAGAAGCAGCCCATGCATGTATACCTAACTTTGAGTATTGTCTGAGTAAATTAAATTGTACTTTATCACTAAAGTTTATGCATAATATTATCGATGACACAATTTTCCTATTGATAATCATTAATAATTTTCACTATTGATGATATTTCTGATTATCAGTCTTTATCCCTGCAATGTCTCTTGTCGTGATGCTGATAGGAAACAGAAACAAGAACATCTGACTCAGCTGATTAAGCCTCTTTGAGTTCCCAGATGGTCAAAAGCATTCAGCACTGATCAAGCTATCAACCGCCGGTTTGCCAGGCCCACAAATGTTAGTGAGTGAGTCTGATTTTACACCACAATTAGGCTTCACACACTGTAGTCGTGTTGGGAATCAAATGCGGGTGTTAAGATGCTGACCAAATGAAGACCGCCTCAGACCGACAGGGATTTTTGAAAGGTTGTAGTGATGATACTGGATTATGGTTGACTGACTTATAACCATGGTAACAACATTCACTCACTGATATGTATGTCAATGGCATATTACACATACATCTGTACAATGTCTTACACCATGTATATTCTATACTTAATTCTTGGGGTGCAAAGGTACGCCCATGCCACGGTTTGGTACGTATTGCGGTACGCAGCTCTCGGTTCAGTACATTTCAGTTCGGTTCATTAACAATAAAAATTAAAGTTCCGAGAAGAAATCTTCTTGGAATTAGGACCCAATCCTATCGAATCAGCATGAGTTGTTGACAATAGCAGTATAATAGCACTTTGGCACAGAAATGTTAGAAACGGTAGCTACAGAAGATGTGATCTAGAATTAAATTACATGGAATATTTGTGATGACATTCCGTAAGTAATGTGCATAAGGTGAGCAAGATGATACAGGGATTTACCTTGAGTCCTGTTTTTGAGAGTCCCTGGGACTCATACTCTTACATTTCAGGGGTCCTTGACAACAAAATGGGGGTCCCAGACACTTAAATATTATTAGTAATAGTGTTATTGTATCATGATCATCACATTATTTGTTACAGTAATTGAATTGCAAATGATAACATAACCCAGCTAGTACCAAACCCTTTGATAACTTATTGTTACTTGATTGGAATTTTTACAAAAAAGTATTTGGACTTTTTCGGCATCCCTGTGGATGCGCTAATAAACTTTGTTGCGTCCATGGTCAATTTTTATGTGTATAGGACGCAGGAAGTTGCGTCCTGTAAATCCCTGATGATATTTCCGGTACAAAAAACGGCCATACCGTTTAATTTTCAAAGTGAATTTCGGTGTACCGAACTGAAAACAAAATACCGCGGTATACCATTTTAGCACTACTTAATTCATATAGGCAGCCAAACATAATCAGCAATAAGGCTATGAGAACTGCCATTTACCAGGTGAACTCTTTCAGCTTAGTCAAAACCAGTCTGCCAGCGTGAAGCTAATGAATGTAAAATTTAATTTACCACATATTACCAATTATTACAAGAGGTTGAGCTAACCCATAGCCCTGTGCCTACAATTTACCGTAGTTATTGTAAATTGTGTATTTGGTGCTCAACCCAAAGGATCCTCAATGCAAAGGGTATTTGGTTTGAAAGGTATGCCCAACCCCAAGGATCATGAAGGGCTGTTTAACCGAAATAAGATTAAGATACATGGGGTACCAAACCCTCCCGACTGTGAAGGGGCGCTTGAACGGAATGAAGATCCAAGGTGTAGAGTTAGGGGTAACCTGCCCTTACCCCACCACAACTAACAGTAAGTTAGTGAGTAAGGTTCAAGGAGGCATGTGACATCAATGAAGCGAGAACTCGCGTACAGACGCCCAATTAACGCTATCAGCTGCATCCGGAAAAAATGCAGTCTTAGCGAAATGTCTTTTGTTACATCATCTTAAGGAAGTTCAAACTAAAATCTCTTATTCATTCCAACATGATCTGACGGCGAAACAAATTCTTGAACCAGTGAGACTTGCCTTTCCACCCACAGTTGAGCCGTTGTTGTAAACGACGATCCTTTTCATAACTCCAACACCTTACATCCTTCTGTCTCTCCTTGACACTTTTGACACTGTCATGCTGAAGTTCACGTTCCTACCTACTAAAATGACTAACTTTTCATTGGAGCTATATTTATTTACCCAGATGGTTACTAATTATAGATTTAGTAAAGAATATACTATCTTAAAGACACATTATATATTCTTAATTTGATGTAGAATTTTAAAGTAAAATCCCAAATAAATATCTACACAGTTAAATATTATATTTTTTTCTCAATACCCCCCCCCCCCCAAATAATTTTAGATAACAAAGGACCCTAATATAAGATGGCGGTTCAATAGTTTATCAATATATTTGCATGAGTTGTAGGGCAAATAATATTAGACATAATATTATTCGTCAGAGGAAATATATACATTTGTAAACCTCAAACGATCAACTTTTAAGCCGCCTCAAACAGGATTTCCACTTCGATACAAAGGAATGTGCTTGCGAAGTACACCCACACAAGCACGCACTCGCGAACACTTTATAGCAGCAGTAGTACAAGTATTATTTAACAGTATACACTTAATATTACGTCAAATGTGAACAGTCGGTGGTGAAATATTTAAATAAATGTGTATGCCAATGGTTTGCTCGTAGTAAATAGATGATGTACAGAATAAATGATACTAACAGTTGTTCTTTACCTACTGTGACGTTGCCAGAAAAGACGGTTCGAACGTCATATCAAGTAATATGATAATAATTTTTTTTTAAATCTGAACATGATACGTGTACAACTTGTCACGCTTCGCCCGTTGTTTATTATTCAAATATATTCCTTTGAAGCAATCGTTTTGAAGCAATCGTATAACTGAATTATTGAAAGGATAATTGATGAGGAAATTATAACATCAACCAATATGTTGTCGTAATATATAAGGGGCATTAAGGGCGGAGGGCTAGCTTTGTGGTTAAAGTGTTCGCTCGTCACGCCGAAGGCCTGGGTTCTATTGCCTATGCGGGTACATATATGGTAGGGCTGGGATGGGTCCAAACTTTATACCCGGGTATCCCACCCCCTATTACCCTACCCTGATACTCGGAGGCTAAAATTTCGTGTTTATATCTTAACCATATATCATATTCAAAACAAGTGACTGTAAATTATGTCTAAATCTTTAAAGACAATACAACCTTTCAATCATGAAAGAATAATATATTACATTATTTAATCCATTAGTCACATGATCATAACGGGTCTGGGTATTTGAGACGGGCACCCGGGTCCAACTGGATCATTACCCACCCGTCCCGCATATCCGGGTTACCCGTCCCAGCCCTAGTACATGGGCACAATAATGTGAAGCCGATTTCTGGTGTCGCCCGAAGTGATATTGCAGGAATATTGCTGAAAGCGACGTTAAACTAAACTCAGTCACGTGTAATATATAAAACATTTGAAACGATCGTCAAACACAGGCCAAACACTGGCATGCATCTGCAATAGAGAACACAATTAAAATAGGGATCCCTATCAAAAACAGAAACTTAGACATCATAAAAAATTAAAGCAACAAGCAAACATTATATTGTTGATTAACCAACACATCAACGACAACATTCATATTAGTGGCCGGGCCAAGTTGGAAATTAAACAAGTACCATGCATGCAACTATATCATAGGTTTGAAAGAACACGCTCCAGGATTTAAAAAAAAAATTGATTTGATTTGAGTAACGATTTAAAAGTGTAAGTACTAACTTGCATCTTGTTCTTAGTAGTAGTTACTCCACTGAAATTGCAAAATGTCAACGCATGAAACAAGAGGAGTTTTTCCTGTTCGTTTTAAGTTTGGGACAAATATTAGTTCTCTCAAGAACATTGGCCAAGTTTATAAATACCGGTCCGATCCTTATATAACGATGTCTTCGTTATTTCTTAATAAAAAAAAAGGCATATTATTGAAATATAAAAGACAGATGACGTACAGTATTAGAATAGAAATTCTGATAAGATTCCTCAATGCTAGCTTGACACTGCTTTCATACGGCTTTCAAAAACTCATAAAATAAGTAACGATCCGGATTTTAAGTATCAAAGATGGCTGCGTCCATGTGCAACTGCACACGGCGAGTGCTTGCAACAAGTGTTAGGTTGTGTTATAGGTACGTTATTCTACTGCAGATGTACAAAGGTGGTCTGTAGAGCTAAAGTGTGGCATTGGTTAGATTTGTCAGTGTTTGTTGGAAAGCATAACCTGAAACACGTATTTTGCGCGGCCGGTTCTCTTAGCCAGTCTCCACTAATCTTGTCAATGTCAATGATGTCAGCATCATAGGCACTAATTGCCAACCATTCAGGTCGTAACAAAAGTGCAATGTACTTGTCTCAGACTTCCGACTCTGGCTCTTACACAGATGTCGCGTATCGCTTACATCCTTAAGGTTAGTTATGTATTGATGGGTACGTTACAATCAAATATATCTATAGTTCTAGCTAAACGTCGTGTTGCCTTGGCAGGAACACGACGTTTAGCTTGCTGAACTAATATATCTATAGACATACCCTTACCAGTCAAGCACCCTGTACTATTATCAGGGTTATATATATATCGTTCGGATAATTCATGATCCTTAGGATGTTCACCACCTGCAGATAAAACACCCTTCTTTAATCCGTGGGATTGGTTGTGACATGTGAAGTAGGGCCAACTACCTCTTTTAGTTTTATTGAATAAATCCAACACAATTAGAGGAAACTACCTTATTTCAAGTTTTTTGTTATTGTGGAAAAAATGGTTACAAGCTGCAATCAGATTCTGATGACTTGGTAAACCTTGCCTAAGAAGGATGCGTAGTTGTTTGGTTATGATGATATTTTGCAGATGTTATGCAAATTTGTAGCTTATCTGGAGCTCTTGTGTATGCATTGTACTGATTGACTCATTAAAATGGTATGATTTAATTTTGATGTGTGATGTTTCGATACAGAGAATTTGTACTGTATCTTTCAGGTCGTGCACAGTATCCACACAGTCTACACTGAAGGAGACGTCAGACTCAAAACAAGGTTATTGATGCTGGAGAAAGGATTTATGTTCTGTACATCAAAGTATTGATATAACACTCTCTTAACATGGATAGTTGTAATGTAGATTTGCATTTGATGGGTCTCAAAGTGTTATGGTCATAAAATGTCTGCCTCTGGTAATGGGATTTGAACCACAAACCTGGTCCAAGGCAGACGTTTTGACCCCAGGTACATGCCTTTTACTGAGGGGTAGTATGTAGCAGATCTTGGAGTCATACCACAGATGACCATGATGACATTTTTACCAAGCCAGCTTGCTGACAGGTTAACCTCTTTGGTCTTCATGGGATTGGGAACATTTAACATAATCATAATGTTGCCATGGTTACAAGAACGTGCATGGTTTCATGTTCAGCTGTCCAGTCAATTTTGATAATTATCGTTAGTAAAGTGATGTTGACCTTTCGTACAATGGGAATAAAATTCATTGTCACAGCTTAATCATTTCCTAAACTATGAAAATAATCCTTTTTTCTAATGTGTTTATTTCACCTTTTTTCAGCAGATATTATTATACCAAAGAAGAAGAAAAGGTAAGTTCTAAGAATCATTTGTTCTACTCAGTACTCCATGTTGATTGTATAATGGTGAATGGCTGGCTAAATAGATCGATTGTTGGAAATATCGTCAAATGGTTCGTCAATAATTTAGGAAACGTAGCAGATACTCACCACAGCAATGGTGTACGGTCTTAGAATCATTTACAGACGTATTTATCTGAAAAAGTATTGTTTTATTGTTCATTGACCTGTTTACACAAGAGTAGCAATGTTGTTATGCATATATGAAACGAAACACAAGATTACTGATACTCCATTAAATTCCATTCAGTACTCTAAATGTACTCCAAGTTTTCCCAGTACTCCTATATTGAAAAAATAAGGAGTACATACTCCTGATGTTGAAAAATCATCTGGAGCCCTGAAACGTGTAGATGTGAGATTGAATTAATCCACTTCACATCATCAATCAAGTGCCAGGTTCTATCTCAAAAGAAACAAAACAGTATAATATTTGACTTAAAACAAACTCCCTTTAATAACTGTAAATCCAAAATTTAATTTTGGACATTCTTCAGAGATTTGGCCTAAAGTAGACCAGACAGCCAGGCAATACAGAAATCAGAGTGCTGTAAGGAATTCTCCTTGCACGGCTGTATTGCTAGTGTAAGATGTAGTGCCTGTATAATAAGATGATGTTTCTGTTGTTTCCAGGGATTCTTTGTCTATACTTCAAGCATTGGCATCAACTGTTGGAAAGGTAGGGAAACGTGGCAGACTTTTTCTGAAGTTTATGTGATTATGGGTGTAACAGTGGTTATTAAAATGCCTGACATTTCTGGATACTGGGGTATAACATCACATGATGTCACATGTTTTGCCCACGGGACTGGCAATCTCCTTGTCACCTCGGACTGGAGCATTCACTCTTTGCCTGTCAAGACGTAAATATCTTGTTATTACATCCTATCTTCTGTGGTTCCTTCGATGACATCCATACATAAGAAAGATGTAACTGTATAGTGGATGTGCTGAGTCTGTGTTTATGTCAGTCAGAGGTGGTGGATTTGCTGTTTGGAGTTGCCTCCCTTATGCATGACAGGAACCTCTGATTGTGTATGTGTTTGACTTCACCGAATCTATGTGTCTGTGTTTAACTCAGTCAGAGGTGGTGGATTTACTGTTCAGAGTTGCATCCTTTAGGCATGACTGGAAGCTCTGATTGTTTATTGGTTTGACTTCATTTGTGGGTTTCACCAAAGTGGTGAATGCCTGAGACCTACTTTAGTTCCATATGCTGTGATATAACTATAACTATGTGAAACCCAACACACATGTTTGCTGTTGATGTTACACTGATATGTATTTACTTTGCTTGCAGGATGAAACAGCTCCCAAATACATGTTCATGGACGACCCCTTCCTCATCCCTTATTCCTATTCTGCCAAGGTAGGTATTCCATATACGTAAATGGTTTATCACTAGGAGGGAAGGTTGTTGTTCAATCCCTGCAGCATCATGCCAAGAGACCAAGAACTACCAAGATGCTACTTGCTTAGTTGGGCCAGTGTCAGAGTGGGTGTTAAAGTCAAACTGTATCGTGTTATATCTGTAAGCGTACAATACAATTCTGGCTTTTGTGTTGATTTCGTTTGAAATTTGTGCTGTACACCCAGCACTAAAACAGTATACACAGCAGGATTAGATGCATAGTTGTTATCCTTCATGACAAGGTATACTCCTCAAGGAGCTGAGAGTTAAAATTATGTGGACATTTATCCAATGACTTGGGTAATGTTACTGATATCTTTGGCCATGCACAGAGTGTATGGAGGAAAGTGCAATGTAAGCATGCTATGTTACTATATACTACCAGCAGCCATATGAGGAAAAATATCTCGAAAGTGATGTTCAGACAATTTCACTTCACGCCAAATTTTGCCTTTTTACTAACATTTACTGATAGTATTGCGTATATGCTTTGAAATGTGTTGTGCACACTCCTGCACACCCCAGGTGCATGCGTACATACCTTGAAACTTTTTGCCTGTATGTTTTTAACATGTGGAAATTTGACAACATCTGCATGTATTTCATCTCAGTAATGTGTTTCAGAGGAATTTTGCCTTGTCCAAAGCATCTGGACGGAAAGCAGCTCGATTCATGGTGGACAAGTATCCTGCCTACTTCCGAGACAGCCCTGCTGACCCGCCCATCGAGGTAGTGTGTTTATTTCCAAACTGTCATTTTCATTGAGTAAAGGGAGATATTTAGCAAGATAATTCAATGAAATCTGATTTTCAAGAACCATGAAAATGCAGTTTTGCAGGCTCTTTCTATGCCAGGATCTGTTTAACCTTGTTAACTGTGTTGTGCCGTTTCATTAAAATCAGAACTTCAACACCAGTATGTCATCTCGCAAATCCTCCATAAGAACTTTCTAATCTGCATTTCAGTGTGTACACCTTTCATTCTTGGTATGTTAAAGTAATTGTCACATTTCTCTTCACCAGGCATTAATGCCCAAGTCAAACAAGTACAAGTATCGCTATGTCAATGAGCTGGCCTTGAATGAAAGGATTGAGAAGAGACGAGTGACAGATGCAGTTGATGTTTATAAAAGTCTAAAGAAAGAAGGTAGGTTGCCAATGCATTCACTTCATGTCACCTATCCATATTGTGTTCACTTCATTTCACCTGATAATAGTACATGCATCTCATGCCACCTATTCATAGTGTATGCTTCTCGTGTTACATATCCATAGTTTATGCATTTCATGTCATCTATTCATTATTCATAAATGTTAACACCCGTGAAGGTCCGGGTTGGAATGAACCTTCAGTAACCCATGCTTGTCGTAAGAGGCGACTAACTGGATTGGGTGGTCAGGCTCGCTGGCTTGGTTGACACATGTCATCGGTTCCCATTTGCGCAGATCGTACTCATGCTGTTGATCACTGGTTTGTCTGGTCCAGACTTGGTTATTTCCAGACCACCGCCATATAGCTGGAATATTGCTGAGTGCGGCGTTAAACTAAACTCACTCACTCACTCATAAATGTTATCAGTAGGTTTAGTATCCAACTTGCTCACTTAATTACATGATGCCACATGAGTACAATGTGTCAAGTCCACTTCTGGTGTCAGCCTGCCGTGACATTTCTGCTGGAATATTGCTAAAAGCAGCGTAAAACCATACCCACTCACTGACTTAATAGTGTTAGTGTAGTGATCAACTAAGACCACATTAACATATTATACTGTGATCTGTATGAGTTGGTGTTACTCACTCACTCACTCACTCACTCACTCACTCACTCACTCACTCACTCACTCACTCACTCACTCACTCACTCACTCACTCACTCACTCACTCACTCACTCACTCACTCACTCACTCACTCACTCACTCACTCACTCACTCACTCACTCACTCACTCACTCACTCACTCACTCACTCACTCACTCACTCACTCACTCACTCACTCACTCACTCACTCACTCACTCACTCACTCACTCACTCACTCACTCACTCACTCACTCACTCACTCACTCACTCACTCACTCACTCACTCACTCACTCACTCACTCACTGCTGCAGGTACTGAGATCAGTGCCGACACACATCAACGCCTCCTGGATCTGCTGTGTGTCTACAACAGTGACGATCCTCCGGACCAGTTGCTGCCTGAAGAATTCGAGTTTCGACAAGATATAGGAAAAGATTCACCCAGGGGTCCATCAAAGTCATGGAAGTACGTCCTTATATAGATCATGTAAAGATCACGTCACATTTGTCAATTGTCAACTCAATGTATATCACGTGTTGACTGTCAGTCATTGGGAGCTAGTGGTTCAAGCCGAGAGATCAGGGTTCGATTCCCCGCATGGGTACAATCTGTAAAACCCATTTCTGGTGTCCCCTGCTGTGGTACTGCTGGAATAATGCTAAAAGTGGCATACAACTATAAATCACTCACTCACTCACTCACTGTCCCAACATACATCATGAGGTTTTTCCCACCTTGCGTTAGTTGAAGAGTGAGGTGCGGATTAGTGGTACTGTTATTTTGACAACTACAGTGGAAACCTGATAAATAAAATTTCAAGGAACTCGCCAAAATTGTTTACTTATCAGGTATTTTACTTATCCAAACTGATCAAAACCTGCAAATGACAACCATATGCATATATATGTATACAAAAGAATAACAGACAACATTTGTAAGTAATATGACATGTTTTATTCCATAAAATTTCATTGAGTTAAGCCAGGGAGCTGGAGACTGACACGTGCCCCTCATATCAGATTATGTGGTGATCGTTAATTTAGTTATCCAGTCTCTTTTGTTAAGTAATTTACTTCCAGGGACCGTGAGAAGACATTTAGTTAAGCGGTATTGTTTACTTATCCGAGTTTAGTTAACCGGACTCTAATAGTGATAAATAATGAAGAAATTTGCCGGGACCAAAGAATAGTGTTTACTTATCCGGTCTGTTTAGTTAAGCGGTCTTTACTTAGGCGGTTTCCACTGTACTTGTGTGAAGATAACAGTGAAGATTAGTGGTGTATGATTGCAGCCGAATACAGGATTAATGGCACTGGTGTAACAGAGGCAGTGTCCTTAGAATTATTAACAAAGATAGCTGTTGTTCCTGTTTGTACACAAATGGCAATCGTTGTGTTTATCCTTGGAAAACATTTGTATTTTAAGTAACTCTATACAGTCTTTGAGTGGCATTTAGAAGTGATACACATGAAGGGAGGATTTTTGTATGTCATCTTGTGTAACAAGATGAACACACTCTTATTACTGAATATTGACATCCGTTAAACTTTCCCCCTTCAACTCAGTACAGTTTCTGCAGCTGCAGACTTTAACCTTCATACGTAATGTTCATGATGATAATGGCAACAATGATGATGATGATGATGATGATGATGATGATGATAGATTCCATGCCAAATATTGGTAATGACAATGATCACAATGACGATGATGCTTCTGCTGCTGATGATGGAGGTGACGACAATGATGATGATGATGATACATTCCATGCCAATATTGGTTATGACAATGATGATCACAATGACGATGATGCTTCTGCTGATGATGATGGAGGCGACGACAATGATGATGATGATGATGATGATGATGATGGTACATTCCATTTTAATATTCATCCACAGCAAAAATGGCATGGCACAGCTTGTGTTTGATGATATGGAAGTGAAGACGCCAGAAGCTTACAAGAGCATGATCAGAGGGCTGTCCAAAGTAAGTCTTATGAGTAATAACACCATTGGAGTTTGTGTTTGTTGTACATGGTGACTTGCTGGTTTGCTTGTTCGTTGTTTAATGCCACACTTAGCACTTGGCGGCAGTCTGTAAATAATTGAGTCTGGACCAGACAATCCAGTGATCAACAGCATGAGCATTGATATGCTGTGGGGATACAATGACTGATATCTTGGTGACTTGTGAAAATCTGGGTAAGAATTGTTCTACAGCAACCATTGCTTGAGGATTGGGTGGTCACTCACTGACCTGGCTGATGCGTGTCAGTGTACCCCAGTGGAATGATCCTCATGATATCAGTCACTGGATTGTCTGGTCCAGACATATTACTTTCAAACTTATTTATGTATCCCACCACAAAACTCATGTGAGCAAAAACAGGACACAATCATAACATCGTGCAAGCACCAATTAATACTGCAATCAAGACAATCGAAGATACTTCCTTTTGAGACACACATGCGAGTATGTTGTTACGTTGCAGTTTTACAAGTCAAGAAAGTGCATCAGTTGTTGTCTTGATATAACAAGCATAACAATGAGAACTTCTATACAGTTTAATTTGATATTCCATGTTTTTATGAATGTCGATTAGCCTTTATGTTTATATGTTTGTTGTGTTTACAGTACAGAGGCCATGAAAAAGCATTCGAGTACTATGAAGAGATGGTGGCTGCAGACATGCCACGTATGTAGAACCTTACATCATGTTAATGTGTTTGAAGGTTTTTCACTCACCCATAGTTTGATGCGACATTGTAAAACTAATGCTATTTGCTGCAATCTGATTAGCTGGCAATGTTTACTAATCTGTCTCTATTTGTGGATTTCAGTGGATACACCAACCTACAATGCCATCATCTACAGTTCGGTGTTTACAGACAACTCCTCCAGCGAAATACGCTGGCAACATCTCCTGGTGAGTTCTCTCTTCACATGAACCTGTGAAGATCTGGGTTAGAATTGATCTTCAGTAACCCATACTTGTCGTAAGAGGCGATAATGGTATCGGGTGGTCAGGCTCACTGATTTGGTTGACATATGTCATCATATCCCAAATTACGTAGAATAATGTTCATGATGTTGATCACTCGATTGTCTGGTCCAGACGCGATTATTTTCTGACCACCACCATGTAGCTGCAACATAGCTGCGTGTCGTGTTAAACAGCAAACAAAAATACCCAGCATTTTCCATGTGATTATCAAAACACTGGGCCAGGATTGCCTGTATGTAGAAACAATGGCTGATATGTATTGCTACCTGACAGTAGTTGCTGATACATGTTTTGTTTCTTCTTCCTGAGGCAAGGGAGGTAACTCCCTGTAAACATCCAGTTTCTACATTTGCCGAAGTAGGCTGGAATTTCGTGGCATAGACATAGTGCCACCAATAGTTATGTCTCTTGTATGTTCCTCATTGGAGCAATTAGGTTCTACCTCTGACACAAATTCAAGACTATCTGATCAGTAACATTGATTTGAGAAGGTAAGGATTTTATCATGATAGTTAGATGTAGACCCAGCACCAGATGGCCATGTTCACAGTGTATTCGAATATTTCTGGCGTCTGTTGGGATGAAGCAAGTAATGGAATGAAGATTGATGCACCTGGTTTCAGTGCCTGCTTGGGGAGATGAGTCTGCGAGGACTCCGGCCCGACCTGGAGACGTTCAACCAGGCGTTCCTGTGTTTAATGCGGATGAGGAAGAACACCAACCAGGAGCGGGCGTTCCACATGTTGTCTGAGATGAGGAAGTGTGGGATCGGTGAGTCTTCCTTGGTAATATGGTCTACTGTGAGGAAGGGTGGGATCGGTGAGTCTTCCTTGGTAACATGGTCTACTGTGAGGAAGTGTGGGATTGGTGAGTCTTCCTTGGTAATATGGTCTACTTTGAGGAAGGGTGGGATCGGTGAGTCTTCCTTGGTAACATGGTCTACTGTGAGGAAGTGTGGGATTGGTGAGTCTTCCTTGGTAATATGGTCTACTGTGAGGAAGGGTGGGATCGGTGAGTCTTCCTTGGTTATATGGTCTACTGTGAGGAAGTGTGGGATCGGTGAGTCTTCCGTGGTAATATGGTCTACTGTGAGGAAGTGTGGGATCGGTGAGTCTTCCTTGGTAATATGGTCTACTGTGAGGAAGTGTGGGATTGATGAGTCTTCCTTGGTAATATGGTCTACTGTGGGGAAGTGTGGGATTGGTGAGTCTTCCTTGGTAGTATGGTCTACTGTGAGGAAGTGTGGGATTGGTGAGTCTTCCTTGGTAATATGGTCTACTGTGAGGAAGTGTTGGATCGGTGAGTCTTCCTTGGTAATATGGTCTACTGTGAGGAAGTGTGGGATTGGTGAGTCTTCCTTGGTAGTATGGTCTACTGTGAGGAAGTGTGGGATTGGTGAGTCTTCCTTGGTAATATGGTCTACTGTGAGGAAGTGTAGGATCGGTGAGTCTTCCTTGGTAATATGGTCTACTGTGAGGAAGGGTGGGATCGGTGAGTCTTCCTTGGTAACATGGTCTACTGTGAGGAAGTGTGGGATTGGTGAGTCTTCCTTGGTAGTATGGTCTACTGTGAGGAAGTGTGGGATTGGTGAGTCTTCCATGGTAGTATGGTCTACTGTGAGGAAGTGTGGGATTGGTGAGTCTTCCTTGGTAATATGGTCTACTGTGAGGAAGTGTGGGATCGGTGAGTCTTCCTTGGAACTATGGTCTATTGAGAGGAAGTGTAGGATCGGTGAGTCTTCCTTGGTAATATGGTCTATTGAGAGGAAGTGTAGGATCGGTGAGTCTTCCTTGGTAGTATGGTCTACTGTGAGGAAGTGTAGGATCGGTGAGTCTTCCTTGGTAGTATGGTCTGTTGAGAGGAAGTGTAGGATCGGTGAGTCTTCCTTGGTAATATGGTCTACTGTGAGGAAGTGTTGGATTGGTGAGTCTTCCTTGGTAGTATGGTCTACTGTGAGGAAGTGTAGGATCGGTGAGTCTTCCTTGGTAGTATGGTCTACTGTGAGGAAGTGTGGGATCGGTGAGTCTTCCTTGGTAGTATGGTCTACTGTGAGGAAGTGTGATTGGTGAGTCTTCCATGGTAGTATGGTCTACTGTGAGGAAGTGTGGGATCGGTGAGTCTTCCTTGGTAATATGGTCTACTGTGAGGAAGTGTAGGATCGGTGAGTCTTCCTTGGTAGTATGGTCTGTTGAGAGGAAGTGTAGGATCGTTGAGTCTTCCTTGGAACTATGGTCTACTGTAATAATATCTTCTACTGTGGTAATATTTTCTACTGTAGTAATATGGTCTACTATAGTAATATGGTCTACTATGGTAATATGGTCTATTGTGGTAATATGGTCTACTGTGGTAATATGGTCTACTATGGTCATATGGTCTACTGTAGTAATATGGTGTACCGTAGTCATATGGTTTACTGTAGTCATATGGTCTACTGTAGTCATATGGTCTACTGTGGTAATATGGTCTACTGTGGTAATGTCGTCTACTGTGGTAATATGGTCTACTGTGGTAATATGGTGTACTGTGGTCATATGGTCTACTATAGTAATATGGTCTACTGTGGTAATATGATCTTCTGTGGTCATATGGTCTACTATGGTAATATGGTCTACTGTAGTAATATGGTCTATTTTGGTAATATGGTGTACTGTGGTAATATGGTATACTGTGGTAATATGGTCTACTATAGTAATATGGACTTCTGTGGTCATATGGTCTAGAATGGTAATATGGTCTACTGTAGTAATATGGTCTATTGAGGTAATATGGTCTACTGCGGTAATATGGTCTACTGTGGTAATATGGTCTATTGTGGTAATATGGTCTACTGTAGTAATATGGTCTACTGTAGTAATATGGTCTAATGTGGTAATATGGTCTACTGTGGTGATATGGTCTACTGTGGTAATATGGTCTACTGTGGTAATATGGTCTACTGTGGTAATGTGGTCTATTGTGGTAATATGGTCTAATGTGGTATTAGGTCTACTGCAGTAATATGGTCTATTGTGGTCATATGGTCTACCGTGGTCATATGGTCTAATGTGGTATTAGGTCTACTGCAGTAATATGGTCTACTGTTGTTACTACACTTTTTACATGTGTTTCTGGACTATGACCTGTTTTGTATGTTTCAGAGCCAAGTTTGTCAATTTGGTCGAGATTGTTGAGCATTGTATACTTTGAAGATGGTAAGTGTAGAGTTATCTAACTTGTAGCCATAGTAACATTTAAAGCTGGCCCTTTCTAAGGCAAGCATTTTGCAGTACATAGGGGCGTCCTGTGTATGTCCCAGTTACCCCAGATTATGTTAAGTGAAATAATGCAAAAATGATGATTGAGCTCCACATTTTTGCCTTTATTTTTTTATTTTGACCTTCCAAATCTAAGGGTTAGTAAAACGTCCATAATCCTTATAAAATGTACAAGTTTTATTTTCTGTTAAGTGTTAATGAATCTACTTCCAGCTGTGCAGTCACCTCTACTTGGCACCATCATTGAGTATCTGGAGGAAAATGGAGTCACCTGCCGGCACCCAGAGGATGGTAAGATCTTTACATCTTTTTCTCATCTTTGTGGTTGGGAACAGTCGGTTCCGTTGTTGAAATCACGAAAATGTTCACCAGTAAAGATCCGGGTTAAAATTGGTCTTCAGCAAGCCATGCTTGTTGTAAGAGGCGACTAACGGGATCAGTTTGTCAGTCTCGCTGGCTTCATTGACACATGTCTTAGTAACCCAGTTGCATAGATCGATCCCAGAGCTCCAGATAAGATTTAGCTAATGTGGGTACTGTACCCACTGTATTTTTTTGGAGTGGGTATTATGAATGTTGAGTGGGTATTTCATTTTCCGTTACCCACTGCTTTCAAATATGTGCGTATTTCAGTCATTTTACACACCTAAATATTGTGTCATTGAGCACGTTTACTAAGCAGGTATGTTCTGCCTTATGTCATACAAAATCAAAACCAACTTAAATATAAGGGAAATGATTTCATAAAATATCACTCATCCTATACTGACAGTACAACACTTGTCCTATACTAACAGTGCAACTTGATAGCAATCGATGTCTTTTTCATTACACAAGCGATTTTTATAAGTATATTCCGTACGCATTTGTGTTAAACTCTTTGCGTATCTAACAGTTTAAATGCGTAATTGGTACGCAACAATTATTTTTCAATGCGTAATTGGAAATTTTCTATGCGTATTTTACCCGGATACGCAGCTTATCTGGGCCTCTGCGATCCCATGCATTTAATCACAAGATTGTCTGGTCAATACTTGATTATTTACAGGTGTCTCCATATAGCTGGAATATTGGTGCATCGTATCCTAATTGTGTAGATCGATGCTCATGCTGTTGATCACTTAATTGACTGGTCCAGACTTGATAATTTACAGACCGCCGCCATGTAGCTGGAATGTTGCTGAGTGCGGCTGTAAACAACAAACAAATAAAACCTAACTGAAACACATCCGTATTACTGTGGGCCTCTTTGTTGATTGTTCTTGGGTGAATTGTAACATATGCTTTGTTCTCTTTTGCTCCAGGAGAGTTCTTCAAATCAGCAATGGCCAAGGTAAGCTTTAATACGTTTAAACTGATTTTCTTTCTTTTTTCACATTTCATCAAAATGTGGGGAGGTGGGATAGCCAAGTGGTTAAAGTGTTCGCTTGTCACGACAAAGGTCCAGGTTCTATTTCCCCCGTGGGTACAATGTGTGAAGCCCATTTCTGGGGTCTCCCACCGTGATATTGCTGGAATATTGCTAAAAGCAGCATAAACCAAACCAAAACTCGCTCACTCACTCACTCACTCACTCACTCACTCCATGCCTTCTAATGGACTGCTCAATTTTCTAATAATAGAATAGGTAATTCATGTGTTGGATTATTGTACTAAACAATGTCACTTATTTCACATTGTTAACAGGGTCAGGTGGTCAGGCTCTCTGACATGGTTCACACATGTCATCATATCCCAATTGCGTAGATCAATGCTCATGCTGTTGATCACTGGATTGTCTGATCCAAACTCGATTATTTACAGAACACTGCCATATAGCTATAAAATTGCTGAGTGTGGCATAGAAATAAACACACTAAATCATGTTGTTAACAGTTATTTTTGTATTAATGACCAAATAATCAGTCTATGAGAGAGTGAGTTTAGTTACACTGTTTTAGCAATATTCCACCAACATCACGGTGGGGGACACCAGAAATGGGCTTCACACATTGTACCCAGGTGGGGAATTGAACCCGGGTCTTCAGCATCTTCTTTACCATGAGGCTATCCCACCGCTCCAATCAATCTATGTAGTTGTTCTTATTGATGATATATGTATACGAATTGGGAGATACACAGTCTTTAGGTTTATACTGCCATAAGTGTACAAAGGTATTGAATTCTTAATTGACAACAACAAACATTGAAGTCAATTCTTAATTTACAACAAAACAGTGAGATTTGAATTTATATCTCACTTTTTTCTCAAAGCCAAGAGCATGTCTTGAGAATGTTGCATCTGTTGTCCTTCCAGTGTTTCATCTGTCAGAAGGATCCAGAGTTGGCAAAACGTTTACACAAATTGTTCAACACCGACGGAACTTCACTGTCATGTCTGACCTTCACACTGAGTCACTCTACTAGTAAGTACACGACCTTGAAACTGAGTGCATGACCTTCACTCCGAGTATTTGACCTTCACACAGTGTCTCTGCTAGTAAGTACACTACCTTGAAACTGAGTGCATGACCTTCACACTGAGTACATGACCTTCACACAGTGTCTCTACTAGTATTAAAACATTGTTCACAGCCTTGTAGGGGGCAACTCTTAAATGGAGATTATTTCCAGGAAAGGAATAAATGAAGTCCTGTTTCTCATGTTTCATTCTGAATTAATCATGAATTTCACTGAACATAACATATCATTCCACAATTTTGCAATAATGAAGAAATTTGCATGAAGCAGAGACTGTAATCTCTGTACTAAACATCCTGGTTAAGGTGATGCTTATTTAAACCTTGCGCAAACTATGTTTGTCGTCATTCATCAAGCGGGAGGCCTGTTTTGTACTGACTTAGTTTGAACATCAAGGAAAATATGACGTTTTTGACCAAAGTGACAATGTAAAGTATTTCCATCTACAATGATGTCGCTGGTAGGAAGTTTGTACTTAATATAACAAAGTGCAGAGTGTCATCTAAAACTTGGTCTTAGTAGGGGATGTTCACAAAGACTACACTCACATGAATGTCATTAAAACTGTGACATTTGGTAAAGAATATTTGAAACCCTATTTAGGCAGCCAGTAATTTGCAATAATGGACACGTAAGAGATTGGGGTCGAAAGTTTCAATCAAAGGGAGACAATCCAGTCACTGAGTTTCATCATTTGTTTCCAGCAACTTCTTCTTCCGAACTCTGTGTTTGATGGACAACATTGACACCGTCATGGACTACTACACCAGCATCGTTCCTTCTGTAGGTTACCATGGTTACAGTGTAATATAACTAACATTCCCTGTTCACTGTTAACTTTGCTTGATAAACGGGAGAGTAGATTGTCGACAGCTTGTGGTAATTCTGGGTTAGATTCGTCTCCAGAACTTTATTACTGTTAAATACTGAGTAGACTGGCTTGTTAGTTGGTTGCCATTGTAACCCAACAGTGTGGAATAGTGCTCATCATATCAATCACTGGTTTATCTGCTCAGATTTGATTATTTACAAGTTGCAGTCGTATAGCTGGAATAGTGAGGCAACAAACAAAATGGAAATGATTGTTTTTAAAACTTCACAATGTTATTGCTTGAGGTACTTAGGAACACTGAAGTATGTCTTCCAGTCCAAAATTGAGAAGAATGTGTTATATCAAAATCACTGTACATATTTTTGCTTCTGATTCTAGCAATGGACACCCCATTTTGCCGTAATTCAGGAGATCATGAGAGCAATAGATCTACACAAAGGTTTCCGACATCTTCCCCAGATCTGGGCAGGTGAGCTCCATCACTGAAGATGATTTGTAGAGTGTGTTTCTGTATCATAAGCTTGTGTTAGGTGAGCCATTGGCAAGCATTAAACAGTAATGAATATAGGTTATATAGTCTAATCCCTGGGGTGGTGGGGTAGCCTAGTGGTTAAAGCGTTGGCTCATCACCCTGAAGACCCGGGTTCAATTCCCCACATGGGTACAATGTGTGAAGTCCATTTCTGGTGTCCCCCGCTGTGATGTTGCTGGAATATTGCTGGAATATTGCTAAAAGCGGCGTTTAACCATACCCGCTCACTCTAATCCCTTCGGCACACCGGTATCCTGTGATTTGGGGTCTTATGGTGGTTTGTGCCAGTTATGTTTGAAGGTTGCCTGTACCATACATGTGGGTTCTACAACATGGTGAACATCTAAAACCTATGTCCCTTCAGGCTTTCCTCATACATCAAGCTAACTTGCCATGATAGTAAAGGAATATTGTTCAAAGCAGGGTTAAACCCAATTGACTGACTGATTGACTGACTCACTGAGTGACTCCAAAATAGTACTGAATTTTTCTTCATCATTCAATCCTTATACAGTGTAGAACGTTCACCCAAATACACACTCTGTCAAACCTACTCCCAGCATGCTCCTGTGTGACCTTAACATCATTTCACCCCTCACCCCTGGTGACAGGATGTGTATCAGCATCATTCATTGTTCATATTTGTGTTTCCATCCTCAGATTTGGTGAGACTTGACATTTCCAGGCCCCATGTGTTGAACCTGATGCTTGGCCTTATGGTGAAGAGCCCGATAGAGCCTGAGGTAGGATGGACAGTTTGGGGGTGACTTCCATATTAGGTCAAGGTTGCAAGAGTTAGACAGTCATCCAAACATTTTTGTACAAATCGTCATATATCAAAGAGTTCTGTTGCATTAGTGAAGATAAAGTTTATCAACACCTTTCAGTTGTGTCAAATGTCAAGGTTACTTTGAAGGTCATTCATTGGTGAAATGAAGTGATAGTTTCACATACTACAGGCTGCTGACTTACTGCTCCTTTTTATTAAAACAATGTTTACTTTCAGCTGTCTGGGAAGTTTGCCGACTGTGCCCAGTTTCTGATTCAACAGTGGAGGGATAAGATCACCGACAGAAGACCGTTAGTGTAAGTCTTGTCACAGGGAATCTGAATATCAGAAACACAAACAACCCTTGATTTACAGATAATCTTTTGAAATGTCCCGATGATTGAAGGGAGAAAAGTATGGAGTAGAAATATCATGTTTAAAATTTGTTAAAAAAATTATTACAGTTGATTGTCATGCAGTGTTTTTTAAGCCTCTTTTGTTATTCTTACAGCGTAATGTATTTATGCAAAATTTCTGGTGAATATGATTCATAAGTATGGAGCTGGCTTGAAAATGTATTTTGCTTTTCAGACTTTTTTGTACTACTTTTAAGTGTTTTTGACTGTTTGCATCATGGTGAACTGATTGTTTTTATGTTATGCATATATTGTTGTGGATATTGGGATTCAGATTCATCCCTCGCAACTGATGCTGCTTGTAAGAGGTGACTTATATGATTGGTTGCCGTGCTCTATGACCTGGTTAATAACATGTCGTTACACCAAATGGCATGGATTGTGGGCACAATGTGTTAAGCCCATTTATTGTCGCTTCAAATGTCAGTAACAAAAGAACCTGTCAATAAATTGTTGAAGGTTTGATTGGTTACTAGCGAATGTCGTCTAGCTTGACTATAAGTGTGGCCTCACACGAAAAACACATAACCTGTGGTGATAAACAACAGATTCACAGACACAGAGTGAGGGGTGTTGGGGAACTTGAGGAATAGATCTTGTCATTCAGGACTTGCATGATTGATAGATTGTTTTGAGATATACGATCTATATCAATTCAATGGCTCGGTGTTTGGTCATACGCTAAACTGATTAAACAGAACGAACACGTCACTTCGCCACTGATACTCAAATGTACCCCAACCAGTCTGGAAATATATCCCAGCAGACAGATGCTCTGACCTCTCACACATGAATGTCTGCTCACCAGTCAATCTGTCCTCGGTTCACCAGAACACTGGCCCACCGGTAAACACCGCAGGTATATCATCCCCTGATCCCGGCAACATAAGGGTATATAAGGAGCTCCATATCCTTATACAATGAATCTGAAGCTAGATACTGACTACGAAGACATTACCCTTAGTTTATAGCCTCACACTGTTATAACAAATATGTCCGTCATATTTCCAGGTTGACAGCGGAAATCATGGGTCACGTCATTACTCTGCTGCAGAAGGGTGGTCGATTCAGTGAAGCATGGTAAGACTAGTTGTGTGAGAAGCAGTATGTTGGCACCTGCATGTGTATATATACTTGTTTTGTGTCAATTTCCAAATTGATGGAATAACTGACCAAGATACTCTGTATGCGAAAGAAATGTGTGCGACACCAATAAACAACAAAGAGATGTTGTGACATTAACTGTTGTGACATTAACGGTTGTGACATTAACGGTTGTGACATTACCTGTTGTGACATTACATTAACTGTTGTGACATTAACGGTTGTGACATTAACTGTTGTGACATTACATTAACTGTTGTGACATTACATTAACTGTTGTGACATTAACGGTTGTGACATTACATTAACTGTTGTAACATTAACTGTTGTGACATTAACTGTTGTGACATTAACGGTTGTGACATTTACTGTTGTGACATTAACGGTTGTGACATTAACGGTTGTGACATTAACTGTTGTGACATTAAATGTTGTTACATTAACTGTTGTGACATTACATTAACGGTTGTGACATTACATTAACGGTTGTGACATTAACTGTTGTGACATTACATTAACTGTTGTGACATTAACTGTTGTGACCTTAACTGTTGTGACATTACATTAACTGTTGTGACATTACATTAATGGTTGTGACATTACATTAACTGTTGTGACATTAACGGTTGTGACATTAATGGTTGTGACATTACATTAACGGTTGTGACATTACCGGTTGTGACATTAACTGTTGTGACATTAACAGTTGTGACCTCAACTGTTGTGACATTAATGGTTGTGACATTAACTGTTGTGACTTAAACTGTTGTGACATTTACTGTTGTGACATTACATTAACGGTTGTGACATTAACGGTCTTGACATTAACGGTTGTGACATTAACTGTTGTAATTAACTACATGTACACATCACTGCCCAGGAATTACTTCACCAGGTTTTGTAAAATCTCTGGTGATGCGTCCTTGTTGCCAAGTACAGTGTGCATGCAGCAAGTGGCAGGCAGAAATTCTCCTATTTGATTGGCTGTGTAGTCATGCCTTTTATGGTGATCTATGAATAGACAGAGGAAATAGATAATCCTACTACTATGACACACAAGCCATGACTGATTTTACCATGGTATGGCATATCGGATATAGGTCTGATTAAATGGACTTGTCACGGGCTTCAGCTCTATACAGTGTGCAGCTGGGGTATGTTTCTGCCTGGGACAGATATGTTCTTGTACACAGAACAAGTTACTGAGGTACATTCCTATAGTGCCCATGACAACAAGACCTCTGGTAGAGGTTACACTGGAGTGATTCACTTCCTGGTTTACTGGCAGAAATATGATTCAGTGTGTGTCACACTGATTCAGTATGTGTCACACTGATTCCGTGTGTGTCACACTGATTCCATGTGTGTCACACTGATTCCGTGTGTGTCACACTGATTCCGTGTGTGTCACACTGATTCAGTATGTGTCACACTGATTCCGTGTGTCACACTGATTCAGTGTGTGTCACACTGATTCAGTATGTGTCACACTGATTCCGTGTGTGTCACACTGATTCCGTGTGTGTCACACTGATTCAGTATGTGTCCCACTGATTCAGTGTGTGTCCCACTGATTCAGTGTACTAGTATCCAAACTGGCTGAAAGCATTCTTCCTTACTGTATTCCTTGTTTTTCACCAGGTCTGCATTTGAAACATACAAGTTCAACAGTCGTGACTTCTCAGGGTTACCAGGGTCAGTACACGTACAATTCATATATTCATAGAGTTTGACATCAGTATATAAATATCATATCTAAGTGGTTGACTGTTTCTTGGTAATTCTTTCTTCATCCAGTGTCATATTTGTTCATCCTCCTGGACCATACCATATGTCCGACACAATCGCCGATGTAAAGTAATAACAGTCTTAAGAGCAACCACTGATTGTCATATTTCGTCTGAAGAGTCGTGTACAGCTTGAAATGTGTTTGTTTCAGGGAGGAGACGTTCCATCTTCTGCTGGATGGCTGCATCCAGAAGGAGGATCCAGAGAAGGCTGTGGTATGTACTGATGTCTCTATAGTATACAGCGGTGTGTATTCTGTATACAGCGGTGTGTATTCTGTATACAGCGGTGTGTATTCTGTATACAGCGGTGTGTATTCTGTATACAGCAGTGTGTATTCTGTAGTGTGTATTCTGTATACAGCGGTGTGTATTCTGTATACCCCGGTGTGTATTCTGTATACAGCGGTGTGTATTCTGTATACAGTGTTCATCATTCCTCATGCTATCCACCACCGGTTTGTCTGTTCCTGACTCAGCTATACACAGATCATATCACATGGTTGGAGTCTTACTGTGTGCAGCAAAGTTGCAAACAGAAGATCTGTGTCTTTTCTGTGTTAGGGTTAGTCTGTCAACTGTACAGTACCTTTGTTAACTTGAAAGTATCACCAGTTCTTGAGGATAAATAAAGATGCACACATATGTATTGCATAATGTCTACAGTGGTATGTTTAGTGTCATGAGATGGTACATGTGATAGTATATGTCTGGGTCAGTGTGTTTTCACTCCTTGCTGGTAGCTGCGGTTGCTATGTTGCAGTCTGTGGTGCTGATGATGGATGAGATGATGATGCCACGTGTGGACGAGGCCACCAAGAAGACCATGGAGACGCTGTCTCTGTCAGGACAACAGAGGTATGTGGAGACCACAGAGGAATGAGTCCTATGTCACATGACAGGATTTCAGTAACCCATACCTATCTCTCAACTAGACGCGTGAAACAGAACAGACATTTAGGACCCATGCTTTTATCTCCAGTTGGGATGACATACAATTCCTCAATCACTGGCTGCTTTATATCAATTATAAAATCAATTTCAAAGTGAGTAGATGTTAATTATGTCTGTTTCTGTTTTTCAGGAGTCAGATAGAGCACCTACTGCCCCGCACAATGTTGTAATCCATACTGTTGTAATGTTGCTGGACTTTAATTCCTGGAAACACCTGTCGGACTTCCTTCCTGACCTGGGTCAATGTGATGAGATAAGTTCTGTCAGGCATCTGAATGGGTCAACACCAGGTGGTGGTCACTTGTGTGGATGTGCTGCTACAGTGATACACAACACTCCGAGTTACCAGGAATACAGGAGACATGGGCAACAACACCGATGCAGAAGTTTGAGAGAAGGTTGGCCAGAGTGTGTGCACATTATGACTTGGCCGAGGCAGTTGACATATACAGTGTCTGAAAAGAAAAGAAGGTGTGCATCCCCATTTTGAATCTGCCAGTGGGCAGGCATTATTGGGACATGATAGTGATGGAAGTGTGAGTCCCATCAACAAACCACAGTATTGCCAACCACTGATCGTCCTGGAGGCTGTTTGTGTTGTGATGAATACACTGTTGTCTGGTTCTGACCTTCTTCAGATCAATGATTCCAGACAACTGATGGCAGTGTTCGGAGATGTGATTATCTCTGATCCAATTGGTCAACATCTACTTCATAACAAGACTATTCCATTAATGTTACAGATAACATTGTTCTGCCAGAGTAAATTATGATTATCATATTATTATATATCCACACGCCAGTGTGATAAACTCGGACTCATGATCCGTAATATGCAAATGAAGTGATCATTGGCACTGTGTAGTAGGTACCACATCTAACTGTAGACATAATGTTCTGTGATTTCTGAAGTTACTTTAGCATATGAAATATGTCCTAAACTTCAATAATTTCAAGACATTATGACAAAGGGATCAATTACCTCATGTTTTTATTTCATGAATATCCTGTTTGAGAAATAATTATTGTTTGTTTGCAATAGCTTGCAAAACACAATATATATGAAAATACCTGGGTAATATTTTCCCTTCACATGCATAGGCAGAAGGAACAATATCATGGACATTTTCATGTGCTGTGTGTAAGCATTTAAGGTACTTGTTGCCACTCTGTCTCACCTGTGTGTACAACCAGCGGTACGTGGCATGGTGTCTAGTTCATGTGGTTTCTAGGTTTCAGTGTGTGTGATGTTGTTAGTGAGTTGTTTGAGATGAAGTTTGACGTGGGCCATACCTTGGTCTCTGTGGATGAAGAGCAAATGTGTGCTACAGACTAGAAATACAGTCACCCCTCGCAATAGCGCCCTTCGCAATACCGCGGTTTTGGTTCAACCGTGGGGTAATTGGTGGCTCCCATAAAAAACCCAAAAGTTCCACAGCGATCACACATCTTAAGGGCATCGGAAACAGCCTATCAACAATCCGTGGTTTTAGGTGGGCACATTACACGGAACGGAAACAGCCTATCAACAATCCGTGGTTCTAAGTGGGCACATTACACGGAGCGGACACAGCCTATCAACAATCCGTGGTTTTAGTGGGCACATTACACGGAATGGCAGTTATGAAATGCACATGGAAACTATGATCTTTATTCCGTGTTATGTAATAATGCGAGTGTCACACGACGCGGGGGTCTTCCATGGACTCCCAAGACCCAAGCTATTGGGAGGGATGACTGTATATAGAATATCTCACCTTTGTGTCTTTTGATATGAAATATATTAACATATGTTGATAAAAGATTATTACACAGTGATTTACCAAGATTGTAAAAACAAGTGTTAATATATTTTGTATCAATTTACTTTAGAGTGAGATTCTCTTTATCATCCAAAACAGTGGCAGAGAGATTAATAATGTCAGTTGATTTGTGATGTCATGGTAACTGTTGACATCACGATGGTCTGCAAAGCATTGATTGTTGTTGAGTTGGGTTTTCGTCACATCGGCATTATTCCAGCCATATAGTGACGAGAACAAGTTTGCATTAATAAACATTGTAAATACATACTCGGAATGAATTTTATTTCAAAAACATATATTCATTACATTGTCATTTAAAAGCATAAAAAGTCATAGCATCAAATTTAAAGGCAGGCAATTTGTGCAAAGCATTGAGATGACCATGTATTTTGATGACACTAAAGCGCTATCTGTTGTCAAAACTGGTTTTGGATGATAAATTAACACCTTGTGATATCATGTAGTGCTATTAACAGGAACTGAATATAAACTTTTAGTTCTAGTTTTGTTTGTTACATCTGAGTTATGAATGTAAAATGCTTGTGGAGATGGAACAATGTTGAAGTGATCCTGTTAGTTTCAGTACAGACACCTAGGGAGTGGGATAGCCACGTGGTTAAAGCTTTAGCTTGTCATACCAAACACCTGGATTCGATTCCCCACATGGGTACAATGTGTGAATTTCTGGTGTTCTCTGCCATGATAATGATTGAATATTGCTGAAAGCAGTGTAAAATTAAACTCACTCACTCAATACAGACATGCCCAGGTATAAAATCTGCAACCATTGTGTCCAAAGTTACGCTACTCACAAAACAGAATATTCTGTGAAACATTGCAAACACTCTTATGTCGGTAGTGGTATAAATCAGAGATCCGTGAAGATCCAGGTTAGAACTGATCTTCAGTAACCCATACTTATCGTAAGAGACGACTAATGGGATCGGGTGGTCAGGCTCGCTGACTTGATTGACACATCATTGTATCCCAGTCGGGTAGATTGATGCTCATACTGTTGATCATTTGATTGTCTGGTCCAGACTCGATTATTTACAGACCACTGCCGTATAGCTGGAATATTGCTGAGTGTGGCGTAAAACTAAACTCACTCACTATAAATCACAAAAAGTGAAAAAAAAGCCCAAAACACTTGATGAAAAAACAATTCTTTGTTATCATGGTGGAGAAAAGAATAAAGTGATTTGTATTGATGCTTTGGTTCTATGCATATCTGTCAGTGGGATTGAGGATGAAGGTCAAGGTTTCACTGACCTTGTATTAAAGGTGACACATTAAGGGGCTCTCTAGATTCAAATCACGTTGCCCAATTCCATATCTGGAGCTGAAATGTTAAGATACACGAGACAAGTTGAATATCAGTAGGTATTTCCAAGATCAAGAGCAAGAATCCATGAAAGACTCATTGGCACAAAGATGTGACAGATACTGATGGGCCAATCACTGAGTGAGTGAGTGAGTTGTGTTCAATGTGTCACATTGTGTCAATTCTGTGTTGAAGGAAATCATGTCATAAATTAAAAGCATTTTTCTGAAACCCATTTACTAGTGCTGCTGACTGACACCAAGGAACATTATCAGGCTACTATTAATTATTTAATATGTGTGGATAAGGTGATCCTGGTAGTGCTAAGGGAGGTAACTGCAACAACAAGCTCAGCATCTTGCACAACACATACAACAAAACAAATCTATGATAGTTACAAGAAGTATTTATGCTGCCTTTATTGGTCATATAAATTATGTAAAATGACATTCTGCCAAGTACCTGATCCACTTCCGCACCAATAACTGGTACCAACATCTGCTGTCTCAATCAGCATCATCACACATCATAGAGCTGGCAAAGACGATAAAATGTGACTAAAATAGGTTGGAATAACATTGTTAAGTTCTAAAATAAGATCACCCTGAAAATCAATTACTTGAAATAACTGCTGAAGTCTCGTTCAGGAATTAATTGGAACAGTGTTGTTTCAATATGAAAACTCACATGGACAGCTGTTCCTGCTTACTGCATAATGTACATGCAGTTAATTCATGGACATGACTTCCATTGTCTAGACCGCCGTGATGTTGCTGGAATATTGCTAAAAGCGGTGTAAAACCAAACTCAGTCAGTCAGTCCATTGTCTAGCTGACAGGGCATTTGCTTGTAGGGCGGAAGGTAGGTGGTTTGACCCCTGGACATGTACCAAATAAATTAAAAAAATATACTTGATGTTACTCAACCTTGTTCTTTATATTAGGGCGATAAAAGATAAAGCAAGGACTTTAGGGGATTGATTCATTGTACATGCCTGAGTGAGGTGTCCATCTTAAAACTTTGGGCCAGACGATAAAACTGCCATTCTTCCAGCAACCACACGCACACGCACACACAGCACACACACACACCACGTATACACATCAGCATATAAGCACAATAATATTGGCCACATCACCTTAATTATCTTGTGTATCACATTTCCATCCTATAACGATAAAGACTTGGAACCATTAACTTTCAAAGCTTTGTTCTGGAAGTGACAACTCCATTCTGCTGTCACTAACAACACACAACATCTTTGACCTATAAGTAATTGGCTCTCTATTTCAAGTGTAGAGGTTTTCAGCCTAAAACTGATTTATGGTGGCAAATGGCCAAGGGTGGTTTGTCAAGGAGAGTGGTAACAAAACAGACTTAATTATTGAGAATGATTCTTGGGTGGAAATTACAGAATATTATTTTATGTCAAAATTGAGGATGTTATGTCATTTATTTTATTTTATTTGTAATACTACCTTTGAAAATAATAATAATTCATCCAAAATACCAGATTGTAGTAAATTTCTATTCATAAACAATGTACACACAAGACAAGATAAACTAGAATAACACTGACTTATTGTCAGTCTTTGAGTGAAGGTAATTCATAATGAAATACTGACACCTGTGAATAGTTGACAAACATGCTCTTATCACAAAGGGTTAAATAAATACTCATTTGCAACCTCAGCACAAAATCTGCATTTAGCAAATTAAAGAAATGTGACATCACTGTAGAATACGGTATGAGACTTCGAAGATTTGCTGTCTCTGTTACTGAGCTACTGCAGCTCCAGCAGTTACTGCGGCTACTGCAGCTCCAGCAGCTACTGCGGCTACTGCAGCTCCAGCGGCTACCGCAGCTCCAGCTGTTACTGCGGCTACTGCAGCTCCAGCAAGTCCTGGGCGAACTTCTTGGCATCCTCCACACCTTCACACGATGCCTGCCAGGACTGAGGAATAGCCTCGTAGCCATAGTACGCTCCAGCCATAGCTGCTGCCATGGTGGCGATGGTGTCTGTGTCTCCTCCAAGAGATATGGCGTAAATGATCGTCCTTTCAAAGGCACTGTCAGTCTGGAAATGTAGAACATAAAACCTCAACAGATTCATCAATACTTATACCAGTCATTGTTATAAGGAGAGACAAGGGGCCGGGAGCTGTCATCTTCGATTTGTCCAAAATGTAATCCTCAGTGTAAGGCAGTCCTATCTAGTTCTCTATGTAATGTGATCCAAGCTACCAGCAGACTAGCACACAACCACTGATGCCACTGACATTGTATTCAGGAGACTGATCAGGGCCTAGATTTTTGAAGCTCTCTTAGCGCTAAGATAGTCGTAAGTTAATGTTAATGTATGGCACTTATGACTATCTTAGCGTTAAGAGAGCTTCGAAAATCTAGGCCCAGAATATTTATGACATTAGTGTCCTTGGCTGTGAAAATCTGCAGGACAATTATGACGATGGGACCGATGAAGGAGTGTGGCAGATTCAAACCGGTGAAGACAGTGACACTGATCTGAAGGGTTCACTTCCGAGGACTTATAAATAATATCATCTTTCCATAATCAAACGTGTTCTGCACTTAAGTTTATATCTATGTACATATTATTATTTTTTAGTCAACACAGAAAAAATAACATAATGTTTTGAATATAAAAAACTGACTTCCGTTATTTACCGTGGGTAAATTTTCTCATGGGTTCATATTTCTATATTCACCGATTTCACAAAATGGTGTCTCACTGTTGATCGTTGGCATATAAAAAGGAAAACAAACACAGGTACCCACATTAGGGGTCAGTAAAATCTTTATTAGAAATTATTCTCACCAAACATACTTACGTTTTGCATCTAAGATGGTAACTGCCAGTTGTCTTGTGGACTGAGTTGGCCGTGATTAGGACCCTATCGGGGGGGGTCAGCTTATGTACGAAACATACCATTTTGATACTGATTTTAAGGGTCCAGTTAGGGGATCGGCTTATCAATCAGACTGGCTTATCTACGGTAGCACATTTCTGACTCACACTTAGTATATCAGATCTTAGTATATTTCAGAAATGACACAAAGTCCTCTGGTGTCTAATATTCAAAATCTCTCATCTCAATGACAGGTATTTCCTTATAAGCCTTCAGGAAGCTGCATCTCAACTTAATGACAGGTATTTCCTTAAAAGCCTTCAAGAAGCTGTATCTCACCTTAATGCCAGGTATTTCCTCATAAGCCTTCAAGAAGCTGCATCTCACCTCAATGACAGGTATTTCCTCATAAGCCTTCAAGAAGCTGCATCTCACCTCAATGCCGGGTATTTCCTCATAAGCATTCAGGAAGCTCTATCTCACCTTAATGCCAGGTATTTCCTCATAAGCCTTCAAGAAGCTGTATCTCACCTCAATGACAGGTATTTCCTCATAAGCCTTCAGAAAGGTGTATCTCACCTCAATGCCAGGTAGTTCCTCATAAGCCTTCAGAAAGGTGTATCTCACCTCAATGCCAGGTATTTCCTCATAAGCCTTCAGAAAGGTATATCTCACCTTAATGCCAGGTATTTCCTCATAAGCCTTCAAGAAGCTCTATCTCACCTTAATGCCAGGTATTTCCTCATAAGCCTTCAGAAAGCTGTATCTCACCTCAGTGCCAGGTATTTCCTCATAAGCCTTCAAGAAGCTGCATCTCACCTTAATGCAAGGTATTTCCTCATAAGCCTTCAGGAAGCTGTATCTCACCTTAATGCCAGGTATTTCCTCATAAGCCTTCAGGAAGCTGTATCTCACCTTAATGCCATGTATTTCCTCATAAGCCTTCAAGAAGCTGCAGCTCACCTCAATGACAGGTACTTCCTTATAAGGCTTCAAAAAGATGTATCTCACCTCAATGCCAGGTATTTCCTCATAAGCCTTCAGGAAGCTGTATCTCACCTTGATGCCAGGCATTTCCTGATAAGCCTTCAAGAAGCTGCATCTCACCTCAATGACAGGTATTTCCTTATAAGCCTTCAGGAAGCTGTATCTCACCTTGATGACAGGTATTTCCTCATAAGCCTTCAGGAAGCTGTATCTCACCTTGATGACAGGTATTTCCTCATAAGCCTTCAAAAAGCTGCATCTCACCTCAATGACAGGTATTTCCTCATAAGCCTTCAAGAAGCTGCATCTCACCTTAATGCCAGGTATTTCCTCATAAGCCTTCAGAAAGGTGTATCTCACCTCAATGCCAGGTATTTCTTCATAAGCCTTCAAGAAGCTGCATCTCACCTTAATGCAAGGTATTTTTCCTTCATAAGTATCTCACCTTAATGAAGCTGTATCCTCACCTCTAATGCCATGTATTTCCTATATAAGCCTTCAGGAAGCTGTATCTCAACCTTAATGACAGGTATTTCCTTAAAAGCCTTCAAGAAGCTGTATCTCACCTTAATGCCAGGTATTTCCTCATAAGCCTTCAAGAAGCTGCATCTCACCTCAATGACCAGGTATTTCCTCATAAGCCTTCAAGAAGCTGCATCTCACCTCAATGCAGGTATTTCCTCATAAGCATTCAGAAGCTCTATCTCACCTTAATGCCAGGTATTTCCTCATAAGCCTTCAAGAAGCTGTATCTCACCTCAATGACAGGTATTTCCTCATAAGCCTTCAGAAAGGTGTATCTCACCTCAATGCCAGGTAGTTCCTCATAAGCCTTCAGAAGGTGTGTATCTCACCTCAATGCCAGGTATTTCCTCATAAGCCTTCAGAAGCTGTATATCTCACCTTAATGCCAGGTATTTCCTCATAAGCCTTCAAGAAGCTCTATCTCACCTTAATGCCAGGTATTTCCTCATAAGCCTTCAGAAAGCTGTATCTCACCTCAATGCCAGGTATTTCCTCATAAGCCTTCAAGAAGCTGCATCTCACCTTAATGCAAGGTATTTCCTCATAAGCCTTCAGGAAGCTGTATCTCACCTTAATGCCAGGTATTTCCTCATAAGCCTTCAGGAAGCTGTATCTCACCTTAATGCCATGTATTTCCTCATAAGCCTTCAAGAAGCTGCAGCTCACCTCAATGACAGGTACTTCCTTATAAGCCTTCAAAAGATGTATCTCACCTCAATGCCAGGTATTTCCTCATAAGCCTTCAGGAAGCTGTATCTCACCTTGATGCCAGGCATTTCCTGATAAGCCTTCAAGAAGCTGCATCTCACCTCAATGACAGGTATTTCCTTATAAGCCTTCAGGAAGCTGTATCTCACCTTGATGACAGGTATTTCCTCATAAGCCTTCAGGAAGCTGTATCTCACCTTGATGACAGGTATTTCCTCATAAGCCTTCAAAAAGCTGCATCTCACCTCAATGACAGGTATTTCCTCATAAGCCTTCAAGAAGCTGCATCTCACCTTAATGCCAGGTATTTCCTCATAAGCCTTCAGAAAGGTGTATCTCACCTCAATGCCAGGTATTTCTTCATAAGCCTTCAAGAAGCTGCATCTCACCTTAATGCAAGGTATTTCCTCATAAGCCTTCAGGAAGCTGTATCTCACCTTAATGCCAGGTATTTCCTCATAAGCCTTCAGGAAGCTGTATCTCACCTTAATGCCATGTATTTCCTCATAAGCCTTCAAGAAGCTGCAGCTCACCTCAATGACAGGTACTTCCTTATAAGCCTTCAAAAAGATGTATCTCACCTCAATGCCAGGTATTTCCTCATAAGCCTTCAGGAAGCTGTATCTCACCTTGATGCCAGGCATTTCCTGATAAGCCTTCAACAAGCTGCATCTCACCTCACTGACAGGTATTTCCTTATAAGCCTTCAGGAAGCTGTATCTCACCTTGATGACAGGTATTTCCTCATAAGCCTTCAGGAAGCTGTATCTCACCTTGATGACAGGTATTTCCTCATAAGCCTTCAAAAAGCTGCATCTCACCTCAATGACAGGTATTTCCTTATAAGCCTTCAAGAAGCTGTATCTCACCTCAATGACAGGTATTTCCTTATAAGCCTTCAAGAAGCTGTATCTCACCTCAATGACAGGTATTTCCTTATAAGCCTTCAAGAAGCTGTATCTCACCTCAATGACAGGTATTTCCTTATAAGCCTTCAAGAAGCTGTATCTCACCTCAATGACAGGTATTTCCTCATAAGCCTTCAGGAAGCTGTATCTCACCTCAATGACAGGTATTTCCTTATAAACCTTCAAGATGCTGTATCTCACCTCAATGCCAGGTATTTCCTTATAAGCCTTCAAGAAACTGTACCTCACCTTAATGCCAGGTATTTCCTTATAAACCTTCAAGAAGCTGTATCTCACCCCAATGACAGGTATTTCCTCATAAGCCTTCAGAAGCTGTATCTCACCTCAATGCCAGGTATTTCCTTATAAGCCTTCAAGAAGCTGTACACAGCTGCAGGAACAGAGCCTAAGGCAGAGATATCATTGCCTGCAAGAGAGACCAAGAAATCCTAACCAATAAACCCTTATGATGAGAGCACCTGTACCTTTGGTGACAACAACGTGAGATTTTACTATATTTTCAGTACACTTTTGCATTGTTATATGTTATTTGCCAGATTTTACTGGACTGAGCAGAAGTTTACTAGACCTGGCTTCAAACTAGAGGCTAAAGTCGTAGACAGTGCATATCACTTTTACTACAATGTAAGACGATAGCCTGTGGTAGCACAGGTTGCAGTTTTTTAACACTTTTGGATCAGGAAAAGGGATGGTGCTGACAGACCAAGGTCTGGATCCAAACAGGGATTTCATTCCAAGACCAGAGTGTCTGGACAGACAAAGAGTGCTTTCAACCCAAGGAAAGCACTAATCCTTTGAAGGAAAGATTGTCCTGGGTGGTCTTCAACCACCAGTTAGGAATAACTTCATGCAAGAATTAGTGAGTAGAGTTTCTGTTACCTAACTCTTCCTCGATGTCACTGACAGACACATCTTTCTGGAGGAACTCTTTTATTTTTTCCAGTTTATGACAATATGGCATCTTCACTGTGTCTGACACCCTGAAACAAGCAGACGTCAGCACTTCAGGCCTTAGTTCAGGGCTCAACAAATACTAGAAAAATCACAGTAATGAATACACAATGCCATTTAGAAAGTGGTCAAATGTAACATGTTATATTTGGGATTACTCTTTCTCAGTAAAGTACAGATTTGGAACTTTTGTTCGGTTGAGTCCCATCTGAGATTCGAACCACATTTTCAGAGTCAGGCACCTAATCATCAGCACACACAGTCAGCCGCCTAACCCGCTCAGCCACTGATTAGGCGCTTGACTCTGAGAGTGTGGGTTCGAATCCAAATATAACAAATTACACATGACAGTAAACATGCTAAACATTCATGTCCGGAAATCCTAAAATCAATGTTGTTGACTTGTTAGTGGCAAAATATGAATATGAACATTTTTACCATAAAATGTGAAGTTTTTCTTGTCTCCTCCTCACATAACTGTCCTATTTATTTACCATCCACATACAGACTTGTAATATTTGGCGGTCTCTTTGATTGCCTCAGACCTAACCACCCCCTATAAAAATAAATGACCCCTCCCTTACCTGTAAATAAAAGCTAATTTCATCAGCACCCAGTGATGATGGCATGACTAGGGAACTCCGGTGTTAAATAAGTTGCCTTGTCAGCCAGATAGATTCACTGGTAAATTAAGGATGTCTGCTGGTCAGTATCTTATACTACCCATCAAACGTTTAGACTCACTCAAAGCATTCACTATATGTTATGTATGTGTATGTGTATGTGGTTACATCGAAGATGAATTCTCCCCTAACTTGGGGGAACCAACTGCAAACCTTATGCAGATGAATTGCATGAGGATCATGCATCAAATTGCTGAAAAGCATGTGCAAATAACGTGCATGTGAACAGCTGCATTTTGGTGTAAAGTTTTGTTAAGAATTCGCCAATTTTCACTGAGTTTCATCATTTATTGAACTCATGACAATAATCTTTTCAACATTACGAATTTGTTTTACAATACATCAGTTCATGTGTAAACAGTACCTTTAAACAGTAGGGAATATTTTGCAAAATCTAGTTTAGAACAGGTGACTGAATTAAGTAAGTGGCTACATTTACACTAGTGAGTCTAAACTTTTGATGGGTAGTATATATAAAACCATGCAGAATTTTCATATTGCAGTGATTTCGCTCACATAATGACATGCATGCGTGTGTATGTGTGGCTGCTTGTACTAGCCTAGACTGAAGCTGGTTTTATAGTGCTAGCTCACTGAGATGCCATGCCGCAGTTAAGCATGAATACCCCACTCAGACACATTGCACTGACTCCGAGCCGACCAGTCCTTGTTGTATCCATTAATGTCGCGCCAGGCAGGGACCAAAAAGTACCATATTTTAATGTCTTTTGGTATCACATGGCCAGGGACCGAATACTGATGACAGACTGACACAAGACGTCAGATACACCATGTACATGACAGACTGACACAAGACGTCAGATACACCATGTCCATGACAGACTGACACAAGATGTCAGATACACCATGTACATGACAGTGAAGTTGACCTTAGAACACGAAAATATACCAGAACACATCCATAAATTTAAACCTGGCATCAGTGTTCTCCTTTCAGCATACATCTGTACGACATGGCTCTACCTCTTAGCTTTACGTTTCGGTGAACCCGACACTTTCTCTTCCTTCTTGGATTTCTCCAGTTGTTCCTCCTCCATAGGCTTAATTCTCTCAATGAGCCTGTCCAGGAACCGTTCCCTGTCCAACTGTTTTGATTGGTCCTCCCTGAGAGCCAGATCCACAGCACTACTCTGTAACACTGCCCCCTGTATTGCCTGGGGGTGGGAATGTGTGATCTGGCTGGTATCAACGGTAACAGTCTGGAAAATAGAAATGTGACTATCATTTTATCCTAGGACGTCACATGTTTCGGAAGGCAGTGCTGACTCTCACGATAACGTGACAGGTTGCGTCACGCACACAGTATAAACACTGATGACCAGTGTTTAAGATAAAGTTGTTGTCTAAAAAGAGTTACTGACATATTTTACAGTTGTTCATATGCTAATTGAGACAACAACATGTGTTCTTAACCATCTGAAAACCCATAACACGATCATACCACAAATACTGGCAAACAAGTTACAGCATCTCATTAAAGGGATCCTTAAATACAATTCATTACCTCACTCCATCAAAATCTAACTAAATTTCATAAATTTTAAAAATGCAAGTTACAACTGAAATGCTCCCTTAAATAACACAAATTTGACCCAAGATGTTATCTATTCCATAACATGTTTATAATAACTTAAAGTGAAATGCCATAGTAATCACCTTGAGCTTCTCAAACCCATCTTTCATGCAGCCTAATGCTGCAGGAGCTATCCTCATGGCGCCACCGTTGCCAAAGGAACCTTGACCATCAAACTGCTTCCTTGCAGGCTCAAAGACATCTTCGGGGTTATTGAGCCTCAAAGCAATGAAGACGGCACCTACACTCCCTCCATAACCACGGTCTGGTTCATGGCGGAACTCGTCTGCAAACCTGTAGGAAAGTTAGAATGACCATAAGGATCTGATAGTATACTACTCACAGAAAGTTAAGGACCACACAATTCATCACAGATTAATAATAGTAATGTAGAGGTCCCTAACTTTTTTGAGTAGTATATATTCAGCTGTTGAAAAAATATGCCACTCCCCTGAACAAACTGCACTTGACTATAACATCTGTTTTCATATTTCAAATGGATAGGGTTTGAGTTGTTTGTGATATGTTGGGCTTATCTTCTTCAGTGAGTGATGGATTGGCTATATAATTACATTTAGTGATTGACACTAAATGCGGTTATGAAAACCATTCTCTTGCTTCCTTCGCATCTACTTCCGCGTTCTCGCGTTTGGTTCCGCATTCTGTTATCTGCCGCCATAATTATGTCACGTCGTTACCGATGACGTCATGTATTATATGCGTGCCGATCACGTCACTTTCTGGATGTCATTCGCGCCGATCTCATCGTGCTGTAAACATCATTCTGTAAAATCCCCACCCTTCCCACCCTAGCTTGCCTTGTCGTCATCATATATTTTTACTTATAAATTCTTAAACATTTTAATCCCTCTGTAAATACTCTTGAATAAAAATGCTATTGGTGTGGCAGGATTTTGGGAGGCTTAAACATATTATAACAATGTTCTAAATTTAGGGGTCCTACTTTTCAGTTGGATCTTATTTTCCCTCCACTTCTCATTGGTGGGGACTATTTTGGCATATAAATAAATTCCTGCTTCTCAGCGGACGTATATCTTTACCTATCATTTTGCTGCTGCTGCAACTTCATTTGCCAACACTTTATCCTGCTGCTGGTGTCTACTCAGAAGTCGCCCGATTTAACTCTCTGTCATAGTTATTAAGTAAGGGCCCCTCCAAAAACCATCACGCTCATGACCATTAACCCACAACAATGTTTATTATTTGTGTTGTATACACGACATCAACACACATTGGGGTGATGCTGCCCGTCCAACGGAGAATGTGTTTTGATAATGACTATATATTTAATAGACATGTGAAGAAACCTGTAATATGTATTCCACTACTAGGATGTGATATGATCCATTTCCAGATACAGTTCTTTTCATTCATATGTTGATATTGTTTCCTTTTCCAATTTAATCACAGGCTTGTAAATTTCAGAGATCAAAGACGTGATATTGTTGGGCAGAAATGTATAGGCTGTGAATGCAGTTATTCATAGCCAACTGAATCTGAGCTGGATGTTGAACAATTTATTATTGCTATTATTCACACGTTCATACTGTAATTGTAACATGTAATGAATGGTATATATTGCAATACATTGGTTGTAAACCAAGCAGTGGTGTATCGTGGTCCTTGTGCCATGTGTACTGGGACACAATTCATTTCGTCTTACAACCAGGTAGGGTTTTGTAGTCATGGGGAGTAGTGGTGAGTAAGTCAGTTTAGTTTTACACTACACTCAGCAATATTCCAGCTATATGGCAGCGGTCTGTAAATAATCAAGTCTGGACCAGACAATCCAGTGATCCACAGCATGAGCATTGATCTGCGCAATTGGGAACCAATGAAGAGTCAACCAAGCCAGCGAGTCTGACCCCCCGATCCCGTTAGTCGCCTCTTACAACAAGGATGGGTTACTGAAGGTTCATTCTAACCTGGACCTTCACCGGTGGACTACTGGTGAATCATTATAGTCTGTATCTATAGACAGTAAAGGACCTAACATGTACATGAAATGCAGTAGAATCCTAGATTTTATCTTACAAAATCCTGTAAATCATTATCAAAGCCCAGTAAAATAGCTGATAAATGCTCAGAAAAGGTTGGCCAAAACATGAAAACGAGTGACAAAAAGATAAATGTACCACTAAACTCGATCTTAGGGGGCTTGGGGACTATGTCAGAAAACTTCAAGGATTAATTATTTTCTCCCAACTTTGAACACATCATTTACCTTATCTCTTAACTTCTTTAATGACAATTGTTGTTATGGTAACTCATTTGAAAACATAATACCGTCTATTTTTACAAGAACTTGCAAAACTTTAATGATGATGATAGACGGACCGTTTTGCCATATCCTTGACATCGAATCCTTTCTTGGCGATGAGAGATGCAGCCACACTTCTAGCCATGGCTGTGTCATCTGTGAAAGGTAGAAGCTCCAATTTCTTGCCATCTTCCAATTCTTTATATCCTGAAGAGAAAGAACAGAGTAAGAGTACCAAGACTGACAGTACTGCTTCTTAGGTTCGTAACAAAATAGAAATATATCTGTCCTAATGCATTATGATTTACTTCATTTAGTGACTGACATTCATTTTGCAATGCACAAGTACACAATCATATTAGAGACATGATGTTGTAGTGGTTTTACCCGAGGTAAATGACATTAAGGGGCAAGATACTTTGTGGATGACAACTTATCTCTATAATGACAAAAAACTAAACACCCGTTTGAGTAGAGATCCTTATACCTTTATCAAGCAAGTGTGAAGTACCACAGAATAGACTTATGTACATCTAATACGTATTAAGAACAGCCAAAGGTGACTGTAACACAAAAAAATGACATCAAGGTATATACTGTCACTGACGTGGTCTCAATAAATAATATACTATAAAGGTAAAAGGTAAATGCACCAACTCGTTTCAATATCCTTCACCGTCTTCAGCACGTCTTTCAGTTTGACATTCCCTTCACACTCGTATATAGCTCCAATGCAGTCTCCCAGAACTGCCCCCACTAAACTACCACGAAATCTAGACAGAGTAGCCATTAAAACGCCACGCATGTAGCACACTACTTGACTTAGTCGAAATACCTGCACAGCAACTTTTTGTTTTGGTTTTGACGCGAAGGGAGGTAACTCTAACTTCCTCTTTCATTTGAATACCACAAGCACCATCTCCCGTTTACCTACGTATTAAGCGCTTTAAATTCTGATCTGTTGGAAACTGTCAATTTATTATTCTAAATGCAAAGGTGTCTGTGTGCAATGATGCGCTATCTGTATGATACGTTGTAAATTAATCTAAGAGTGATTCTTATAGGTTCATATATGTCATACAGACCCTGAAAGAAATATAGCCAATAAAGCCAAAGCAAGTCTAGATTATGTTGCAAGTCTGAAAATGAAGAAAGTCTCTTGGCTTCTTTTCATTATATTTCATGATTATAATTCTGGAACCGTTTTTTCTTTAAAATATGTTCATTTCAGAGACTAGACGTTAGTCTAGCTAGTTTACATGGCGTTTAGCAATATTAAAGCAATGTCACGGCGGGGACACCAGAAATGGTTTTCACAATTTTATACAATAGACTACGATAAATCCATCCATTTAGTTGTTTGTTGTGCAATGTAATTTTAACATATCTTCGGTTTCTGCCAACAAATTATGATCCATTTTTACCCGGCCCAAATCTTTTCGATCAAAAAACAAAACGGCACAAATCACAGTAACAAAATATCGTATATTAATAACAGCTTCTTAGACGACTGTGCACAACATCCGAAACTCGAACTGATCATGTTATTTTTCATCTCTTGTTCTATATTGTATGTTTCAACCCAAATTCATACCTTGCGTCTGAGGCGTACACTCGACTTTAAATTCATTATTTCAGTTTTTAAACTACATCAAAGCTAAAACTTTTTTTTAATCAAAGCTACGGAAAAAGGTCTCCGCATTCTTGTTACTTTGTCCTCAGTAGAAGTTATATATTATCACGTATTCCCATTTAACAATAGGCAGACTGTGACAGTGGAGCAGAACATAGTTATTCGCTTTCGTTGCTAAAAATAGCCTTTATCTTGGTCTCTTTTTGGTTTAATGTCGCACTTTGCAAATATTAACCTACATATGACGATAGCCTGTAAATAATGGAGTCTGGATTGAAAATCAATCGATTGACATCGTGCGTAGCGAGCTAGGTTATTAGGATATGATGGCACGCATCAACCGATGACGCGCATCATCCGCGAAGACCCATCGAAAAGAAAATCCAGGCCCGTACTCAGCTTTTAAATCTTTACGATCAATGAGAGAGATTTCCAATGAATTGTTTAACCTACAAAAAAACCTATTTCTTACTTTTTATCAACATAATATTATATTATTTATTAATTATATAATTTTTATCACAATAGTTCCTAGACGAAATCTTACCTATCGTCTCTCATTGTTAGGAAAAGGTGCATTTGTTTAGGCCTTATTAAGATACAATGTCACCGACAAAGGTTTAAGCACGTGCAGCACGTGACTCTCGTGGGGCATGAACATGTGCAGGTGCGCGCCATTCATCAAAACAGTCAGATTGCCGTTTGACTCCATTGCTGTCAGATGAAAGCCGTTACTGAGAATCTTTCATGAGGGGTCATTACTGGTGAAGTAAGAATTTATATTTGCTACCTTAACGGTAGATTGGCGAAATTAACACTGACATGGTAAAATTCTGCTCTAAAGTTAGGAATTTCTTAAACAACCTGTCGTCTGCTCGAAGTTATACTGATGACTTTGGGTGATTTTACGACACCTCTCTCGATATCTGTATTGGACATGTTATGATCTGGAATAGCGAGAGAGTGAGTTTATTTTTACGCCGCTTTTAGCACTATTCAAGCAACATTTTGGCGGGGGACACCAGGGATGGGTGTGATCTGGAAGAAATCGTTACGCGCTGAATGTGAAACCAAAACTGCTAGTGCATGGACAAATCAACAATGCCGATAAACAGAAAAAGATGATTAGTGGTAATTGCGCACATAATCTTAAAAACTGTTCGGGAGCTTAGAAATGAAATATAATCTGTTTTAAAAATATTCAGTGTCTCAATAATATTTTCACTGTCTTCAGATGCTACTGTGTGTTAACACTTGAAAGGTTTATTTATACTGTAAAGGGCAGCTTGCTTACGAACTGAACTTGAGCTGAACTGAAATATTCTGAGATGTTTTAATAGTTACATATTTTCACAGCGTAATTTGAGAGACAAATGCGTACATTTTGACTTGTAGGTCAAACTTCTACTAAGAACCAATCGCACGATTTACATTTGAAAAAGTACTCAGCCATTTATGCGATAGTTAAAATCCAACTGAGTTTCGACAGAGAACATAAATGTGTGGGAATGTAGCCTTGCTCCAAGGCTGTACTTATGCTGAGCACATGGATGTACTTATAGCAATTCAATCCTTCAGAGAGGCGGGGCGGTGGGGTAGCCTAGTGGTTAAAGCATTCGCTCGTCACGCCGAAGACCCGGGTTTTATTTTCCACATGAGTACAATGTGTGAAACCCATTTCTGGTGTACCCCCGCCGTGATATTACTGGAATATTGCTAAAAGCGGCGTAAAACTAAACCCACTCACCCTTCAGGGAGGCAAGTCTATACAAGCGTACAGTACAAAGACACAAGTCTGTTAAGAGGAATATTTATATTTTTGTTTAGAATTATCATTTAAACTGTAACTTATTACCTTAGAGACTTGTGCAAGTTTACGGGGAATGGTGCAAATCACCAAACATGTATAGCTCTCAGTAATTTTGTCATTTCAACAGTAATCTAGCTGAATAAAAAACACCATTATTTATGTATACAAGTAGCGGAGATGACAAGTTACTAGAGGGTCAAGCAAACCCTGCTGGGTTGTTTTCGTTGGTAACCCTAGTATTATATTCAACAAAGTATTTTATCACACACATTTGAGACATTCGACATAATATGAAAAGCAGAGTCTCTCTGTAGGTATGGATTAAAGTGAGTAAGTGAGTTTAGTTTTACGCCGCACTCAGCAATATTCCAGCTGTATGACGGCGGTCTGTCAATAATCGAGTCTGGACCAAGTAATCCAGTGATTACCATCATGAGCATCGATCTACGCAATTGGGAAACGATGACGTGTCAACCAAGTCAGCGAGTCTGACCACCCGATCACGTTAGTCGCTTCTTACGACAAGGGGGCGGTGGGGTAGCCTAGTGGTTAAAGCGTTGGCTCGTCACGGGGGTTCGAATCCCCACATGGGTACAATGTGTGAAGCCCATTTCTGGTGTCCCCCGCCGCGATGTTGCTGGAATATTGCTAAAAGCGGCGTAAAACCAAACTCAGCCAGTCAGTCTAACGACAAGCTTGTGTTACTGGAGATCAGTTCTTACGCGGATCTTCACGGGGTGGTATGGATTAAAAGGAACAGGGGTACATGTATTCACGCCTTTCTCACGACGTAGAGACGCACTAGTTGCCAATTATGCTGTAATACTGTATGTACTAGATTGTTACCACCGTGAGTTTGTTAAAGCCTTAGCTTATATATTAGTCTGGAAGTGAGTCTTTCTCACTACCCGTATACATGTACCCACAGGACACGAGGAAATGATACAAGACTACTATGCTAACAACTTTCTATTTGGAATTCCCTGTACCAAATGATATATAGTCGGAACAAACATGCTCCTGTTTACTTTCAAGCTTTCCAAAGATTGTGCTCGGCGTCTGTTCATGTCCACGCATGGAACTCCCATGTTGGTTTGTTTGTACTTTAACGCAGCATAGTTTCCGAACGCTGTGACAAACATCGGAAAGCAATCGATTTTATATCACTTCGCAGATGAAAAAAGATAAAGGTAGCACCAAGGTATATATTGTTATTGCAGTAACTCCCGGCAGCGCCAATATATACTGTGATGCTGGTGTGTTACGTTGCAAGTCCTGTGAGCGTCTACCCGTGAAGATCCGGGCTACCCGTGAAGATCCGGGTTAGAAATGGTCTTCACAACCGTGTCAATGCGTCTGTGACTGCACATGTACATTTCACGGTGATAGTGTTATCAATACCATGTCGTATGCTCCTCATCCACGTGCACAGCCTTAGACGGAGGGTTTTCCAACAAAAATGTATATTTGGCGTAAAAAGGTCCCTTGGCTGAGAGTATAACTTATTAAATGCTGGGAGATGGAAAAAACAACCAAAGAAACGATGAAATAACAGCTATTGGCAGAGTTATTCCACTTCATCGCATATTTTTATGATAAAACCACAGGGAGGATATGTTTTAAAATAACACCCGGTATCCGCACATAACGTTGTGTGTATTTGGGCGGGGTGGTAATTTCGGACCGAGCTAAATTGCGACACACAGAATGAAATACTGACCGCCTAATCCTGTCCATGTAATACATTTACATTGTTTAATGACAACATAGTGCATGGAACACCTCTTTCATCGTTAGACTGTGATGTTGGGATTGAATGACTCCCATTGAAATAATTGCATTTTTAGATGAAAGCAAATATTATTTATGGAATCAGAGATGCCAAACACATTTACTGTCACTCGTGGTCTGTAATAAAGAATTTTCCGAAATAACATTTTCTTGCTTTGAACGACCTCGTGAACGAAATCCTTAATGCAACTCACTGTTAAGAATCCGGCCACGAGAATGAAGCGAAGCCGCTTTGGGGTAGTATTTCCTTGTCAGTGTGTTATCAGGCATTCCACTAATCCTCCCAAATCTAGACAAAAGACGGAAATAAAATGGAGTACCCTCAAAGTCGCGGCCAGGTGTCGCGTCCAATTAGCATCGCTTTGAGTGAGTCTGATCTTGGTTTTGGGGCTTTGATCAATACGATAATTGGCAAATACTTGACTTACAGAAGGATTGCGCTGGTTATGAACGGGAAGATAGTTTTCCTAATTTACCATGCAGAGTTTTCGTTTTGAACAAGCTTGGCTAGACACTGGATGCTGTGTTTCCATTGTGTTTTGCTACGTATGATCACATAAGATTTTTGTTCGTTCTTTTCACTTTTTTTTAAAGCTAGAGAAATGCATCAAATTCATGTATTATATTT